GTAAAAACTATGTCTTAAGCATTTTTAAAGCGAGTATTACGAAGCACTGCATTTAGTTTACTATTGTAACATTAGTGGTATGAAGCGAAAATTATTGGGAAATTCTTTTGACAAAGATTGAAGCTATTTTTTAAGGGAGGAGTATTCAACCATCAATTCCTTTGATATATGCCAACATGAGATCTTCGAGCATAAATCTAGGTACACAAATTTAGTTCTTATCAAAAGTGATTTATCACAAGATTGAACAGAGATCGTAAAATAAAATATATAATGAGCGCAAGCTGACAACGATTTAATATATTAAATAAAATATATAAAAAATATGTATGTAATTTATATTGAATGCAATTTTTACTGCATAATCCGCTTAAGCCGAGCTCAACAAAAATATGTACGACAAAAATAAAATAACAATTTATACCATAATTAAATATTCATCAAGAGCTTAATATAATTCTTTATATTCGCATATATACATAAAATATATTTATACAATATTTTTTTGTCAATTTGCATTTTTCAGCTCTTAACTTAAGGTATTATTAAAAAAAACTCACTGTTACAATTTGTTTAAGCTCTGAAATATGGCTATCAGAAAGCAAACAAATTAATTTTAAAACTTTTTTTTTTCTTAAATACTTAGCTAAAAGTCGCTTTAAATTAAAATCTTGCACTTGCTCAAATATAAACTGGAATTCTTCGATATTTGTATAAATTTAGTATACATTTTAAACTTGTTGTTTTTAAAATATTTTATTTTTGTAACTAGCCAAATTTTTTGCATAAATTTGTTTTCAATTAATTAATTAATTGGCACACTTCGATATACAGAAAAAAAAATTAACTCATTTATTTAATTTTTGTATGGAAGTCCAACACCAAAAATACAAAAAAAAATATATATATTTTCGAAATTTTCGAACACTGACCAATTGATGAAACAGTTATTTGGATTTGTTTTGTTTGGTTTTGTCGCCGTTGGTCGCAAAGCAATGGCGAAGGCAATGGAAATTGCGCTTCAGCTGCTGCTGCTGCTGCTTCGGCGCCCGCGCCACACACACAGGCACACGCACACCGCACACGTACACACACACACACACAGTGAGTAGAGCAAACACGTCGTGCCGTCGGCAATGCTGAACGAGAACTAGAAACTGAAATCACTTTCACACACGGCCACGGCACACACACTGGCAACACGCGGGGCGCCAGGCGACTCTGTCGACGACTGCAGAGCGTTTGGGACTTGCCACAATTTTTGCCAGCGTGCGTGCCGAGACGTTTGCGGCAGCAGCGATAGCGACAGCGAAGCCGACGTCAGCGGCAGCAGCGAACGCGCTTGCGAATTTGCCGAGCGATAAACTCGCACGACGCTCACAAATCGCATGCGAGAAGTGCAAGCGTCTGCAAATCCGATTGTAGCAGGGAAATTTTTCAAGCATAACTTAAAGGCGAGCGAGCTATAATCAGGGAGAGAGAGAGAGTGAAAGAGAGAGTGAGAGAGAGAGAGAGAGAGCGAGTGCGCAGATAATATGTAGAAATTTCCCAGTTCTTGTCGCAGCGGCGAATACGAATGCCAAACCCGAGCGCCAACGAATGGGCCAGGCGACAGCGACGAAGGCCCAAAAACAGCTGCATGCTGTGGCTCTCTCACATACAAGGCAAGAAATGTTGCCCATGTGTGCGTGTGTGAGGGTGCCTTTGGTGTATGTATGATGGGCCGGTGGAGTGGGGGGCAGCCAGCCTCGCAGGCCAGGCCAAAATGTTGGCCTACCTGTTGCTTAGCAACTCGGCAACGCGCCCAGACGCGCGCTTCATTATCATTGTCAGCATGCCAAATGATGGTGGCGCAGCCCTAAGAAGTCGCTGCTGTGACAGATGTTGCACGTTTGTGCCTGCAACAGCTGTTCGATGCGAAAGCAGCCTTTGGTCGAAGCACTATTAACATGGCCAGAACAGGCGGATTGCTGTCCGTTGAAGAGGGTATATCAAATGCGTAGAGTACGTGTTAAAAACGAATAGACACGAAATACACAGAAGCGAAATACACGCACACACACACACACACACACACACACATGGCCAGAGCCAAACGAAAGTCGCTGGCGATGCTGATAAAAAGCACAACAAACGCTGTGCCTGTGTGTGTGTGTGTGTGTTTGTCGTATGTATTTGAAAATTGAACATATTGCGCTGGGATTATCAATCGATTGTATAGGACTTGAGGACTTGAGCACTTGACACACGTTAAACGCCAAGAGACGCGCACAAAGGCGTTTAAAGGCAATTCGACATTTCGACTATGTCAGCATCTTGAGGCGTGGCAGATTGGTTGGCGGTTAACATGGCTGCCACATGGGGCCAACGAGCGTGCCACAAGCTCTGAACGCGACAGTAATGCGAGTTTTAATCATTTGATCAGCTAACACCAAAATCGACGTGGAAATTTAACAAGCTGCAAAATTCCAATTACAAATTAAACTGTAACCACATTTATCTTATATATAAGATATACCTATACATACATCTTTACATTATATAGTCAAGATCCACACAGAGCTGTGTTTCAGAAAAGCATAAGAAATGAAATGTAATACCCAGAGACTCATTAGGCCAGACAAACCGAAAAGTATGCAACATTCTCATTAGACTAAACGAACAGCCATTCCAATAGGTACATGTGTATATATGTATGTAGCTATACACTTACATACATAGAGAAAAAAAGTTATGTGAGGTCAGGTCATGTCAATACTAAAGAAGAACACCGAAAAAAAAACAAGAATGATTAGCTAAAGACATTAAAAAGTTCGTAATAAACCAAAGTTTAACTAGACGTGCCCAATGACAATGACAATGACAATGACAATGACAATGACAATGACAATGACAATGACAATGACAATGACAATGACAATGACAATGACAATGACAATGACAATGACAATGACAATGACAATGACAATGACATTTCTCATTTTCTTGACTTCTAAATTGACTAAATACACCCAACTTCCTGTGCACCGATTATGGGGTATATTAACTTTTAACGTGTATTTTGTTTGTAATACTCATTGCGGCTGCCCTGGCCTCGACTGCCCCGACGGCCCCAACTGGCCGGCTGCTTTGGCTTTGGCTTGTTGTTTGCGGCTGTTCTTGTTTGCATTTGGCAGCAGCGCACGTAACGGCAAATGCCACTGTACCACTCAACACTCAGCACTCCACATGCCAAATACAAACAGAAGACCAAAAGAAGAAGCAACACAAATGTGTAGCGCAGAGGGCGGTGGGCGTGGTAGATGAACAACAGTTAGAAGCGGCGCCAGGCGCCTCAGAGACACAGGCGCGAGGCTGAAACAGTCGAAGCCACCACAGTCGATGGAAGTCGAAGTCGAAGTCGAAGCAGAAAAGTGTAAACAAGAAACGTGATATTTGACAGATGACTGTAGATATTTAGATACCAACATAAATACTACTTATGCCCAATGTCTCTCCCCATCTTCCTCCTGCTCCTGCTCGCTCGCTCTGCCTACTGTCTCGGGCCTCGCCCCTCTGCCACAGCTGCCACTGTCTCGGGGGTCTTATTGATTTTTTGCTGGCATTCACAGCCACTTGCCGCTTGGTTTGAAGTTCCAGCCACGCATAAGGACGCAGCCGAAAAGAGACAGAGATAGAGATAGAGAGAGAGAGCGAGTCAGAGTCAGAAAAAGAGACACAGCAAAAAAAAAAAAAAAACACAAGAAATAATGACAGGCTAAAAAGAGACAAACAAGACAAAAACAACACACGCACAATCAACGAATGGAGCACAAAAGAATCGAAAGATGCAAATATTGTAATGGATTCATGTTGTACGTTCTCTTTGTGCTCGTGTGTGTATGTGTGTGTGTGTGTGTCTGTCTACCACCCACTCGAGTCGCCATCCATCCTCTTCGTCTTCTTTAATTTAACCATCAGCTACACGGCGTATACTTAACATTGGCAAACAGCCACTCAACACACAATTTATTGCTCACTAATAGTAATTAAATTTCATGAAGTTTTCATTGACAACGAACACGCGGCTCTTATTATTTATTGTTGTGTTTCAACTGTTTGTCTTAACTGCTGTAATGCCCTCTAAATTGTGTCATCGGGTATTTTGATGAAGATGAAACGGAGATGAAATTCAAATAGAAGCTATTTGCATGCTGAATACATATTCAAAATTGATATATATTCTTAATTTTTATACTTAGGTTAATTTTCATATTACATTAGCTCCAGTGTCTTATAAATAATTAATAAATAATCAATCAAAAGACACCTTTTATTGTGTTTATCTTATTTCTGATAAACATCAATATAAATAAATATGTATTTAATCATGAAGCAATTAGAGCTGACTGCCCGATAATTTCACTGGATGAAATTGAAAAATATTACAGTTTTTTACCAAGGGTAATGGTATATTAAATTCTGATACCATATATCCTATATGCAAAAGTTTTTCATTTTGCTTTCTCAGTCTCATAAAGGCACGACCAGATAAGCTCATCCACATACGAAAATTAATATAAAGTGCCCTAAATTCACATAAAATTCTGTCAAAGTCATTTGCCTACCAAGCTACTTCGTCATTTAAGGCATGTCGGGCGTGGAGCTGTGCTCACATCATCGCAAAACAATTGCCATCGAAAGGGACTTTTAAAAAAGTAATTTTTCAACAATAATGAGTTTTAGTCACTTTCGAAGAACCTTTGAGCTAGACAAACAATTTTCTGGCAAAGCAAATACAAAACGCCAACAAGTCGGGCTCGATTTGTCAACATACGGTTTCTCATTTAATTGCAGTTGAAATCGTTGGTTATTAATTAATTGCGAAACTTTTGCATGTACAGTAATAGAAATTCAAGCTGGACGATTTCTCACAGCCTTTGATATGGTCGTGGGGCACACGTGGCGTATGCTTAATATGCGATATGAAATTATATAAAATGAAATATTATTGTACTCACAATCGTAATAATCATATCGATCCGCCTCGCTGGGATTATTGCTGCCCATGATTTTGCCCAGAACTGGAAGGGAAAGAGAACCAGAGAGAGAATAGACAGTAGAGAGTGAGAATTGAGAGTTGAGAAATTCAATTAAGCGAAAGCAAAGCAAAGCAAAATCGACGCTGAAAGGCTTGCAATCGAAATGCAATTGGGTCTCTCCAAATCTGGATCGTGTGCTGCAGATTGAGCATTGCGGATTGGCGGCAGCGACTTTGCATTGGACACTCACACTTGGCGAAACTGCGGCGAATGCGAACGAAACACGAGACGGAACGGGACAGCTGGGTTAGGTCCTCGGGATGGGTGCCGCTCTGGCTGCTCAGGCACAGAATGGGCGCCAATGGTGTGATGCGACAGTGGCTCTGACTGCGACTGCGACGTCGACGCTCCAGCAATGGTATGGCCACAAAGCTGTGCTCCACTGTGCCGCTGCCGCTGCTAGCACCTGCCACGCCCACGCTCGACTCGACAGGTATGATGTTGCCGTTGTTGTTGTTGTTGTTGCTGTTATCGCTACTGTTGTTGTTGTTATTGTTGTTGTTGCTGCTGTGATTGTTATTGTTATTGCTGATGATGGTAATGACATTGACGGTGCCCTGCAATGGGCCAGCGTTGCTCGATGCTGAAATGGGAAGAACAAAAAAATTCGAAAAAATTATGTAAAATTCTCTCATCAATTGCTCGCTGATTTATGATTTTAGCAACAAAAAATTGTATATACATGTATATATAGGGGTAAAAATAAAAAAATGTGAAATCGAGGAAGGGAAAATCCCATTTCGCACGCGACGCATCTGTGACAAATTTTTCGCTGTCCCGTGCAATTCTATGCTCTGTTTTTCTTTGTCTTCCTCTACGAGTGTCGTAAATCATTCAAATCTGCATTCAATGTATTTCTATGCTTCCTTTTCCTTTTTTATTTTATTTTTTTTTTTTACTTTTTGCTGTGTTTGGGTTGCGGGTAAATGTTTTTTTTTTTAATGTAGATATGTATGTATATATATGCATATGCAAGGCAATCTGCCAAATGGCGCAGAATGYGCACAAAACATAACAAGCATAGCTGAAACTCTATGCGGGAACTCAACAGCTCAAGCGCCAAACGGAGAGAAAAAAAAGGTGAAAGTGTTGAATATGCATGACTGGCAAATGCCCTACGCCAGCTATGAACCCCTATATATAAGAGATAAAGCTAATGTTTTATAAGAAGACTTTTTATAATATTAATAGCAAATTGTTTAATGAATAAAGGT